GGTACCCACTGCCATCTTTGGTAAACCGTGGCTGACACAGCTATGACTTTCATTTTAGCAATGTTGTTTACCATATATACCATATAAAAGATTGTAGCCAGAAAAAGATAATGATTTACAGTAAAGACAGATTCATATTAAGAAAAACCTCTAAAGGTTTACAGTGTGTTTTAAAATATTCATAGACATGGGAGAAAAAAAGAATAAAATGGTTTTTAAAAGACAGAGAGGAACTGGGTGTGGTGGCACACTCCTTTAATCCCAGCACTTGAAAGACAGAGGCAAGCAGACCTTGTGATTTCAAAGTAAACCTTGTATGCAGAGTGAATTCCAGGACAGATAAAAGTTACACAGAAAAACCCTGTCTCAAAAAATGAAAAAATAGAACTAAAAGAAACAGAGTAATGATCCTACATTCCAAACAGCTGGACAAAACAGCCCTGCAGACTACAGCTAGGATATCTGAATCTTCTTCGAATCCCCCAAGACAGCGCCCCTTACCAGCAGGAAGTAGTTTGGAAAGAACGACGCCCAAATTCCCAAATATTGTGTATAAATGTTTGTTTTCATTTAAGTGCACTTTGTTATATAAAATTAAATAAAAATAAATAAAAAAAAGAAACAGAGTAATAAAAAAGCCACATAAAGATGGAAAGCACAGAAAAATTATGGATGCTATATGCTATTCTGTTGTCTTTAAATTGTTTAACTGCTGAGGAAATAACAACTGATAAAAGAATGCTGCTAGATTAATTCAATTTACATATTTAAAAATGCTTTGACTTCGAAATTTAAGTCAAAGACAAGTTACTGGGGGAAAGGATTTCTATTTTTGTTTCCACAGTAAACGAAAAGCTATGGATTCCTTCTAGACTAATGTGGTTTGATCAAGCCAGACCCCCTGAAACAGAGTCGCTGGTGATCCAACATTCAAAACAGCTTGGACAAAGCAGCCTTGCAGACTTAGGATTCCCCATCACAGCGCCCCCTACCAGCAGGAAGCGGTTTGGAAAGAACGACGCCCAAATTCCCAAATATTGTCTATAAATGTTTGTTTTCATTTAAATGGGGTTGGTTATAAATGGATCACAACCAATATCTTTTTAAAGGTAAAAAGGGAATTATGGTACAGATATGAAAACCTTGTGTTGGAATGAATTTTCATTTATTGATACAAATTTAAAGTCAATTTTGTGATATGTATATGTCTCCTTTTGTTTAGGTATTGTGTTTATATAGCTCATTTAGAAATGTAATGTATAATGGAGTACAGATTATAGATAATTACCTATGATAGTCAAAACTTAAGTTAGGTTTTCAAGATACACAGAGATGTATTTGAGATAGATAGGCATTCTTCAAACCTTTCAAAGACCTACAGAATATGGCATTTAAAATGGTTTAGGGTTTTTCTTGACAATGAGGCACAGTTGCTCTTGAGGCACAATTGCTTCTGGCAACACCTCCTGCGTCAGAAAGGAAGATGGACATTGAAGAAACTTGTTATGGAGTTTACTTCCAATATGGTAAGACTAGCCATCTGGACAAGATACTACTCTTGTCTGGACTGTTTGACTTTATGCTGTATAAACTGGACGTGCAGGACCCACAGAAAAGTGACTGCTGATTCAAGATGGACATTGCTACGGAGTTCCTGCTTCATGGAAGAGTCTGCCAGACAGTCTGCAGGACACAGAGAAAAATGACTGACAAACTGCCAGTACAAGAAGACAGTTTAAAGTTTCCTGCTTTGTTGAAGAGTCTGCCAGACACAGTATGGCCTATGGGCTGAAGATGGTAGATTACAGAAGAACTTCAGGTGACTGACTGGGCAGTGAGTTGTCTCTGTCATTTCTAGAGTTTATGTACTATCCTTCTGTGGTCTTTGAGGGAGTTGAAGACAAATAGTTATGGTTATAGTTTTCCTTAGTTAGGATTAAAGATAAGTTACATATAGGACTTCAGACTCACAAAGATAGGATAGATGATGTAATATTTTCTTAAATCTTATTAAATGTTAATGGACTTAATATTGTTAACTGTGATTCTTATTTGATAACTGCTGTGTGATATATTTTGCTTTGTTAAGATTAAAACCCTCCTTTTTATTTAGACAGAAAAGAGGAGATGATGGGAGATGTCATTCTGTAAATATGTTTCTCATACTGGTTAATGAATAAAGCACTGTTAGCCAATAGGAAAGCAAGAGGGGAGGAACTGGGAGACAAGGAGGAAAGAGGAAGTAGTAAGAAGGGGTCAAAATGGAGAGTCTGGAGAGAGCAGGATGCCAGCCGGCTCTCGGTCAGATAACCACGTGAAAATATTAGATGGACAGAAATGGGTTAATACTTAAGACAGAGCTAGCCAATAAGAAACAAGTAACTGGCCAACAGCATTATATCAAATACAGAGTGTTTATTGGGGCTGGCGTGGTGGCAGGACAAGACCAGGTGGTGGGCGGAAAAACTTTACTCCTTACAAATAGGCCAGGGAATTTTGTATTCTAAATTGCTAGGCTAGTGTTTGAGATGTAGTTGGTCTGTCTTAAGCAACTTGTGAGTTAGTGGTTGAAAAAAACATGGACCTTGCCGACATTCTGAACTCTTATTGTCATTAGTATAGTTTTAAAATTGGCTTTGTTACATGCATTTCTCTGGAAGTCTTTTCTTGATTTGGTCAGTATTTTTCCAGATGAAACATAAGTAGTAGTGTGGCTAGAGATTACATGTGTGAATATGAAATTTTACACACAAACATACTAGTATGTGACCCCTTTAAACTTTGCAGGGAGGCAAAGCTGGATGATGGAGATAATATAAGCTTTGGAGTGGGACAAATCTCGGTTTAAAGTGTGCCATCACATCTCTGGGCACCAATGTTTTCGTATGTAATCAAGGAGAAGCATTTTGTTACACATGGTATTGGAAGGTTCAACTGAGAAAATGTACTTGGAAGCAATTAGGACAATGTTTGGAGCATAAGAATAACTAAGAACTATTGCCCTAATTTTAAAAAAAAAGCTTTTACTTTACTGTCTGAAGGTGTGTCCCAACTCACATGAATAGAGCTATACATGTAAGATATCAGGCACTTTTGTAAGGGTCTGGAAAGTTTAAATAGGTATGTATTTCCCTCCTATAGCATTTTGCTCAAATTCACTTTCCCAGGGAAGACCATGTGGTATCCCCTATTTATAACTGTATACTCCATCCCCTCTCATTCTTCCAAGTTTTTGGTTAGCATTTACCACCTTTTAATTTCTAACCCACCCTCACACAACTGCAGGAAGGTTACACTAATAATAGTTATTATAATTGCCTTTAGAGCCATTTTCAAGGCCCTCTCCTCTCAGCTTGATCTATATCTCTAGGGCTTCCTTAGTGGGGTGTCCATCCTCTCTTGACCTACCCCTTCATTTGTTTCCATTTAAAATAGATGTCACAGATTTTGGTTACAATTCTTTTTCTTCTAACACCTTTTTAAAAAAAGCATTATACATGGTGTCTAAACTGTGTTTATAGCTACTAGCCTGTCCCTGTACTCAGGTTTTCCTGTTTAACGATGTGGTAAACTCCGTGCAAAAAGATAGAACTTTTTCTTGAAATTTTCTTTATTTAGCCTCAATGCAGAAATATTTTAATATTATTGCTTGTCGTACTGCTGTTTCTATTCATTTTATTTTTTTTAAAGTTTGATCTCTTTTACATTTGCTTTGTATTAAACAAACTAATATGGAATGTTGTACAGAAAGTTTTGCCATGGAAGTAGTTTCCAAGTTCCCTGATCCATAATGCTCTCGGAGCATCATGCTGAGGCCAGAGGAAAATTAAAATAGCCCATTTGTTTCCTGGAAGGGCTGTGTTATCTTATACTGTGAAGTCTGCCCTGCCTCGAGCCAGTAGTCTCAGGGAAGCAGGACTGTCAGAGAAACCTGGTGAAATGGGGGAGGCGTAAAGGTTCAAAGGATTAAATTTCCAGCTCCAAAAATAACCCTGAGTACTCCTTCCCCTTCCAAATCAGGTCCTGCACCTCTCTTTGACAGGGCCCTGAGGAGCCATGGACACCCCTCCACCTCCCCAAGGGTACTCCCCAGAGCGTGTGGGAACAAGCTAATTGAGGGTGTATATGCAAGATGCCTTTTCTCCCTTCCTTGTCATTATCCTTTGTCTTTGTCCTTCGTCCCCAGCTCTTGGAAGGGCCTATATAGTACTTTCCAAACCTCAACAATTGGATATTACTTTAATGCTGCCTCCTTCCCCCATAATACCATACCATACATCTCACCAGTACTATTTCCTAAAGATCGTTTACAATGTTTGGTGTTATCATTAAGGTTTCTAACTGCTGTAAGGTGAAAACCAGTTTTCCTGTCATAAATAGAAGGTTCCTTTACACCATAATGGAGATAATAGAAATAAAATTTAGTTAGATAAGGTTGCTTGTTTCAGATCTTGTTCCCCAATCCTGCTTGTTAAGAATGCTGGGATGTTGTTAAAGATTTGTTAGCTTCAGCATGAGCTCTGATCCTTGAAATGGACGAGAGGACCAAAACGAGAGCAATTTCTTCTTCACTCCTCATTTTTTGATCCTATGTCTACATGTTTGATGTATTGCTTTGAGTTTTAGGTCACAGAAACAGGAGTGTCCTTCTAGAAGTGAATGCTTGATAATTGTACTCGAAACCTTTTTTCACTTTTTTCATTATTTGACCAGCTACCACAGAATGGTCTGGAGGGACCAAGGGCGATTTGGCCAAGGTCATAAAGAGGCAGTCTAATGTTTTGGCTCCCGCAGCTCTGATACTAAGCTGTCTCTCAGGAGCCTCGCTGAAAGGTCGCCTCGGGCCTGGAGCCAAACTTCAAGCCTCCCGTGTGTTTACCGCGGTTGCCATGGCAGCCGCGCACCGTCCTCCCTTCACCCGCCTCACCTTAGTGACGTCACAGAGTCGGGACCAATGGGAAAGCGGCGGACGTCAGGCCCCGCCTGAGTCGCGAGCGCGGCTCTCGCCGCGGGCAGACGCGCGAAGCGAGCGGGAAGCAGGCTGGTGGCGGCGCGGCGAGCTGCGTCCATTTCCACCCCGGCCCGCCGCCCGCCGTGCAGCCACGATGTTTCGGATGCTGAGCAGCGGCTTCGAGGACGACCCCTTCTTCGCGTGAGTGTCGCGGGACGGGGACGTGCGACGGCCCCGCAGGTCGTGGGGTGGACAGCGGGCGGGAGGCGGACAGGTGGCTGTGAGGAGGAGCAGGGTCAGGGTGAGGAATGGATGAGGAGAGATGGTGTGAGGAGATTGGGAGTGAGGAGAAGCAGGTGTGAGGACTGGGAGTGAGAAGTGGCTGTGAAGAGAAATGGGGAGCTGAAAGAGAAATGGGGGCATGAGAAGACTGGGACGGTGAGAAGTGGGGATGAGTAGAAGAGATTTGGGGATCATTAGGTGAAGAGATCAAGGTAGGGGACTTGAGGAGAGGAGTTAAGGCTATAAGGCAAGAAGAAACGGAGGGCATGAGAGAGGATGAGCTGAGCAGGATTGGGATGTGAAGAGGATTTAGGGGCCTGAGGTGAGCTGGTGGGAGGTGAGGACGAGGCTCCCGAGCTTCTGAACAGTTTTCTATAGCTAGAGGCCCAGGCCGATGATGATTTAGCACAACTTGGGATTCAGTGGCCTTGGATCTGAAGCCCTCCTGTGCAGTAGCAGGGCTTTGGTGGGGGACCCTAACTGCCATCTTGGTGGAACCTCTGGTGAGAATTAGTCACTTTAATAGATAGGGATGGGGAGTGCTTTATAAGGTGACAGTCCGTTAAAGGCTAGGCTCACAACCATAAATATAAGAGAAACAGTTTTTTTTTTTTTTGTTTGTTTGTTTGTTTATTGCGGGGGAATTTTGTTTATATTTTTAAATGTTGGTGTTTATTTTGTTTTAAGATTGGGTCCTACTCTGTAGACCTAACTGGCCTGGAACTCTTTGTAGACTAGGCTAACCTCAAACTCAGAGGTCTACCTGTTCCCTCCTCCTGAGTGCTGGGATTAAAGGTGTGTGCTTAGGTTCCTTAACAAGTTTTCATATAGTGAAGGCTGTCACCTTGGCAGCACTACCAAACAGAGTTGTGCTGGATGCTTTGTGGGGGCTGGACGTTGCCATGCAGCCACCTCTTGTTTTCTTTGCCTGCTTTATTAACAGAACTGGCCTTGTTTGGAAAGGGACTTCTTATTTATAATGCAGAGATGGGGGAGGGGAAAGGAAATGGTGTACAATGAACACCTCAGGTGACAAGGAATGGTGAATGGTTCCCAATGAAATAAATGAGGCCTTGGGAAGAAGACATTCAGAGATAGGCTTTATAATTTTCTGAGAATATTTGAGTTTATTAAATGAGTAGTCCTTAATTAAATGTGTGATTTGATATGTATTTAGTATCTTTTTTTAAAAAATGTCTAGCAGGAGTGTAATTTAAACTGTTGGATGACCCTCTGAGCAAAGGCAAAGAACCCAAGATTTGAGATAAAAAATAGTAACAGATCAGAAATAGACATACACATCAAAAAGCACCCTTCTTTCATGCTTAGCATGAAAAAAGACCTTCAGTCATACTCTTCAACACTTTATAGCCTTCTTCAGATCCAAGCAACCATTGTCAAAAACATAAGGCAAATATGTAATAATTAACTATAAAACTGATTCATGCTTATAATTTATTTTTGTAACCATTGTACATAGCATAAACACATCTGAGGATAAACAAGGAAAAGGATGAATTTACATTTCAGGTAATCTGTCCTTTGACCTATCCTTTTCACTCCAATCCTAAAAAAAAAAAAAAAAAAAAAAAAAAAAAAAAAAAAAGAAATTGTATTCATTGTTTAATATTAAATTAAAGAATTTATTAAAATGATACTTACTAAACTATCTGTTGAACTTAGGGACATAAAAGGGAAGTAGGACACATATTTCATACAGTTTTTTTTTATAAAGATTGTTCCTAATACTAACTTTGTACCTGACATTAGGTTCTCTAGTGTTACTTTAACTTAAAAAATATTCAGTAAACATTGCTTAATGGTGATCTAGTATCCTTTATAACTTATGGAACAGTTTATGTATAGTGTTTCATGACTGCTGATAGTAATTACTATGTTCATACTGGAATTTCCTAGTTAAAATACTACTCTTAATTTTTTTTTCTTTTTAAAATAAACTTTATCGTTAAAAAGCCTTATAAGTAAATAAAAACATCACATATACAAATTACTTGACACATGGATATTACACATAGCACTAAAGTACAGGATGAATATAAAAACTTTCTGGAGAAGGTTCTGGGAAATGGCCCAAGCATACATATACTGAAGAAGACAAAGCAGTTGACAAAAGGAAAACAATTCTACCTTGAGCCCAAGCTCCATATGCTCCATGCAAAGCAGCCAAAACTACTACAAGCCTCAAAAGTCCTTTTGGCCTAAGAACCAAAGACAGGGCTCAGGATTACCATGGTCACTGAAAAGTATCTGGTGAGGGTGGGAGTGGACAGTGTCCTGATAGAGAGGTAGAGAGCTTTCCTGTGGATAGATTCTGTAGAGATCTCTTTTACACTTAACTATCTGCATAAGTCAGACTCAGAGAAGCTTACTGAAGAGGATACAAAAATCAAGCAAAATTTAAGGGAACACAATCTGCTCAGTCTCTCAGTGAGAAGCAGGCTTTGGCGGTGAGTCACACAGGTGTTGGTCATCATCAGTCAGCGGCTGCCAGACAATGCTCTCCAATGCATGGGGGCTATTATAGTTGCTTTATGCCCCAAAGTCAACTTGTCAGCAGCAATAGCTTTTAGACAGCCAGGCCCTCCCCTGGCTACAGGATCAAGCTTCTTTGACAGATAAGCAAAATTTGAATTCTAAGGCAAACACATTACCTGCTTAGGAAATATAACAAGATTTGGAACCTCTCTACAATGAAACATAGAGGTCAAAATTATTTAACAGGAAAAGTGACTCATTTTCTAGATAAAAGACTTATCCTGAAGTTAACCAGATATTAGAATAAATGGGCAAAAAACTTAAGGCAGTTATAATTTTGCTGCATTTGTGAAGGAAAATAATGATTGTCACAAAAGAAAATATATGACATCTCAACAAAGGAAATGTATGTGTAACATGTCTATCTCTAATATGTATATATACAACATGTATATATTATGTATCAAATAGAAATCTAAAGCTGAAAATCATATTTGAAAGAAAAAATTGAGTGAGTAGGCTTAGCAGAATGGAGATGGCAGAACAATCAGTAAACTTACATAAAGGCAAATAGAGAACCAGGAGTGATAGTGAATACTTTTAATCAAGTTCCAGGCCTGCTAGGGCTACACAGTGAGACCCTGTGTCTAGGAGAGAAACATGAAGAGAAAAAGCTCCCCTTGAATTAGTTACTATTAGCATAGAGCAGAGATAATACTGACATTGTGATAGATTTTTCTGCAGATGTTGCTGCTTTGGGATCTTTTTAGTTTAGTTTTGTTTTGATTTGTTTTTTCTAATTTAGGCTTTTGTTCTTTGTTAAAGAATTGTATTAGTTCATTGCATTTCATTCAGTATACACTAGTGGCAATTACAAACCATGTTTACCCCCATTTCAATCTTCTGTGACCATTTTATGCAGACTTGGCAGAAATTGATGGTTTTCCTTGAAATTACTTTAAATAGTGTTATTATAGGAACATGCCTGTGGTGGGCAGAATAATGGTTCCTGTAAAGATAATCATATCCTAATTCCAAGAACCTGTAAATATGCTATTCTGCTTGTCAGAAGTTCCATAGGCTTCCTGTACCTGTTTCAGCTGCCCTCTAGTTTAAGAGTTTATTCTTGTAATGTGTATTAGCTATCTATTGCTGCAGTAGCTTATACATCAAATCTGTTGATCAAGAAGCTTAGTTGAGTAGTTTTAACTCAAACCTCAAGAGGCTACACTCAAGTCTATTGAACCTGAAGTTATCACAAGTATTGTTGAAAGGAGCATTCATTTTTCAAGTTCATTCATGTGTCTGTTGGCTGGTTTAGAAATGTGCTTCTATTTTCCCTTGTGTAGACTTCTTCATAAGCCCTCCCAGCCATTGTGCATGAGAGAGCACCTCAGACAAAACTCAGTCTTTAAAATATGTAATTTTGAATGTAACATCCTATTCTGTTATAACCAATTTATTAAAAAAAAAAAAAAACATGAAACAAACAAACAAAAAAACCTAAAACTAAAAAACAGGTCTAGAAGTCCAGTTCATTTTCGAGGGCAGAAGAGGTTACAAGATGACATGAACACCAGGTATTTGGCACCATTGAACCATTGGAGTAGGGTCAGTCACATCTAAATGAGTGACTTCCTTAGTATACTAAGTCATTAAATTTTAAACATGTATACTGTATTAGGTCATAATCTGTGGTGAAAACTAAATACCTATGCTGTGGGTGTAGCACAGTTGGTAGCATTCTTGTATGAAGCCCTGGATTTGATCCTCAATACCACATAAAACTAGGCATAGTGGCAGATGCCCATAACCCTAACACTCTGAATATAATGGTAGAGGGATCAGAAGTTTAAGGCCATCTTTATCTATATAGTGATTTCAAGGCCAGCCTATGTGACACCCCATCTCAAACAAACAAAGATAAAAATAGACCACAACCTGAAGAAAAAAAAAAAGGCTTACAGCTATGTAGTTGATACTTTAAAAGGAAAAGGCAAGACCAAGGGTTGGAAAAAAACAAAACAAAAACTATATAAAGATTTTTAAAATCTTTATTATGTATAGTGTTCTGCTTGCATGTATGCTTGGATGCCAGTAGTAGTCACCAGATCACACTATAGATGGTTATGAGCCACCATGTGGTTGCTGGGAATTAAACTTAGGACCTCTGAAAGAGCAGCCATTGCTCTTCTGAGCCATCTCTCCAGCCCCCTAAAGAACTCTTAACAACCAACAACAAAAGACAAACATTTAAAAATAGGTAAGGTATATCTGTGCACTAATTTTTTATCATTTATATGAATAACAAATACAAAATAAAATCACACTGATATGATTATAGTACTGTTCAAATAATTTAAATTGAAAAATCTAACAGAACCAAGTTCTAGCAAAAATACAGTACTAAAAGGGCTCCTGGT